AATCTTAATACAGAAAACCGATAGGAAAAGTTAAAAAAAATAAAATTATCTTAAACTTCTACAAAATTTTGAGATTTGAAAACTTTTTCGAAATCTAAAACTGTAAAACCGTTTAACAAATTATTCTAGTGAGGTGTTCTTACCTTATGTTTAAGTAGACGTCAGCGTTCTGGCGACAGGATCCTCATGTCGAACTTTCGTAAGGAAGTCATTACGTGTGCTTTGGTGCGCGTCTTCTCAGCCACTGGAGCAGCCACCAGCCTCGAGCACGATGGCACGGTGGGCGGGGCATGCCGGCCATGACACGCCCACTGCAACAAGTTGCCGACAACTGGTGCTAAGAAACCTTCTGCCGACTGCTTTTTTAAACGATGCTTGAGCCTTGACTACAAGTGTAGGACTTGTTATTTGTTTTAGTATTTTTGTAGTTTAAGTTTTGATTTTCAGTCATTTTTCATGTAGAAGTATTGAATGACTTTATTGTAAAGTTTTTTACTGTTAACTTAAATATCTCACTGATCTTTTCAAGGTAGTCAATAAAATTTGTTTAAATTTACTAACATATTTATTTTTACTAACTGCTAGCGAACTAGTAACTTTTTTCTTTTTCTTTAACGTGTAGGAGAGCCATACTTCGGCACGAATGGGCTGGCTCAACCGGAGTGATACCACGGCCTCACAGAAAACCGACGTGAAATAACGCTTGCGTTGTGTTTCGTAGTGTGAGTGAGTTTACCGGAGACAAAATTACCTTCTCCACCCTAAATCCCCAACGATCCTCAAACTCCTAATCCCCAAAAGGCCAGTAACGCACTTGTAACGCCTCTGGTGTTCCAGGTGTTCATGGGCGCCGCCGATTGCTTACCATCAGGTGATCCGTCTGCTCGTTACCGGCTTATGCCATAAAAAAAGTAAGTAATCATTCTCCTTGCAAGCTACTAATCTTAGATCTTAAACATTACATCTTAAACTTGGATTTACCCTTTTAGGAGTAAAACTCGTGTGTTCTACATATGTAGGTCATTGCAACTTACTTAACTGGAATGAAGGAGTATGTTATGAAACTTTCAGGGGTTTTGTAAGTAAAGCCTCACAAATCGGTTTACTGGTCCAAGGTTACCATCACCTAGATTTTAGTAGATTACCTCGTCACGTGACTAGAGCATAAGAGACCTGTGAAAGTGAGTGAAATTGACTACCATTTCGGTCAAATGAAATGAAGATTCACAATCTGAACTAAGCTAGAGTCTGTATCCCAATTTCCGTAATAACCAATGTATTGAAGAGTTTTCTAATATAAGAGGTTCTCAGTGTTAGACTGTGTCTGACCTCAGTGCATGGCAAAAGTTTCTCACTTATGACATAAAATCAAATAACACTAAATGTTAGTTTAATATACCTCAGTCTAATCGCTTAATGAATACAAAGACAAAATACTACACAATTTTAACATTTTTTTGAAACACGTACAGATTACGAATTCTTTTCCAACGCAAGTCGCCATCCTCGCCTCGTCCTTAGCTCTCACAATAGATAAATAAACATCAAGCAGGCGTCCCGCCCCTCTGTGATCTTCACAGATTTGACCAATCAACCGATACTATCTACTACGGATTGATCTCTATTACGAACTAACGGATAAGTAAGGTTTTTCTATCTAAGCTGATGGAGAATAAAAGAATTGTGTCGGCTGAACATAAGAATGTACTGTGCTACTGATTTGCGTGACGGCTGTTAAGATGCTTGCGTGGTAGTATTTTCTAGATACGAGTAGATATGTAAGTAGTATGTAGATGTATTATTTGAATGGTAAAAGTTATGAACAACGACAGTAGAGGTATAGTATAATTAAAACAGCGTAAGGTTGCCTTTCGGTTTTCTTTTGGCTGCATTTCAGTGAGTGTGTCTATTCCATCATCGTAGCACAAACAATCGGCGAAGCGTCACCGATTCATGGTAGATATCCCACCCACACGCACAAAGCGCTTCGCATCAAGCTTCCTTATGCGTACTGCTAAGGAGTGGAATTATTTGCCAGAATCTATATTTTCTAAAAGTATAACCTGGGTATCTTCAAGACCTGAGTGAATAGGTAGCTTATGTATGGGACGCCATGCTCGTTCGTTTACCACCAAGCGAGATAGTGGACAAACGTTGAGCGACGTTTACTATAACCATCAAATATTACAGAATAAAAAGTAATCGATTTGTAAATTACGACTGCTGCGCACGAGACAGAATGTTTATTTCTTTGGTATAACATTGTAATGTACTCAGTCACATACTTAATTTCATTGTAGGTACTTATAAATATGAAATATGTGATAATGCCAAACACTTTAGAACTTTGTGTTCCAACGAATTACGATTACAGCTAGATGTAATGCATACTTTCATAGCCGCTAACAGATTGTTATAAAAAGACACATAACATCATCTATGTTATGGGTCCCATGTAATAGGGGGTGAGCCTATTGCCATATACCGGGCACAGTTCCAGACTCCGTGAGAATTTTTAAAAACCCAGTAATACTTTGCCCGACCCGGGAATCGAACCCGAGACCCCCTGCCCGGCAGTCGCACTTGCGACTACTCGACCAGCGAGGCAGCTGTTATAAAAAGAACAATCCTAAATATAGGAAAAGAATTATATCTGTCTGCCGTACTGGTCAATTATTTATAGAAGTTAGTTGCTTATCCCATTCTTTCATCCTGAACATAAACAAACTAAATTTAAAACAAGGTGCTATATAAAATATAATTTATAATATATTGTTCATAATATAAAAGTATATGAGCAATAAGGTTAGTATTTCGGTAGCTGGTCCTACTAGATAACTGACTACCGTCCACTGCCCGCATGTCGCCCGCCGTTATCTGATAACGCGCCACAAAGCAGCCTCCCGTCATGTCACAGTATGTTATATACATTTACATGTCAGAGTAGAGCTAAAAATAATTTCAGTTTTTGACCTTTAATAAAATTGTGAGGTTTACTAAAATTGTTAATGTTATTAAAAGTTGGATTAAAAAAGTAAACAAATATTTTTTTCAATATATGGACATCCATATGTGTTTACAGGCACTATTAAACGCTCCATGTGTTATATCGTTATTTAAATAATTCTTCTGTGAGTGTGTATGTGACTGAACTTCTCTCAAATGACTGGACCGATTTTGATGAAATTTTTTGTGTGTGTTCAAGGGGATCTGGGAATGGTTTAGATTCACAAATCAGCTCAGCAGATGGCGCTGCAGTCGGTCTCTATGTTATTTATCCTAAATTAACAATAATAATTATTATTTTATTGGTCTTTCCTTTCATATATATGCCAGACAGGGTCTGTCGGGTCCGCTAGTATGCTTAAAAAACAATATTAGGCTATCGGGATATATTTATGAGAACAAGAATTACCTATAAAAGAATTTAATTATTTTTTATATTGTAAATAAAGGAACGATGGAAATAAATAAAATAACAGTTCAGTTGTCTTGTATTTACTGATAATACAACCGCTATTCATTATACTGAGTATAATCTTTTGTCTGACCTAAAAATCAAACCCACACAACATCTACTTTAAACCACTTAACTCTACAATTCATAACAAAAACACCGAAATCAAAATCAATTATCAATTCGAAGTAAAACACATTCGAACATGTTTTGATGATATGTTTCACAATGGATACACAATCGTTGTATTGTAATCGCTTATTGAAAGTATAGGGTGCCGTGGCTATAATGACATAATTATATTTGCGTTATAACCACACTCAGCCAACTGACAATTATCACCAAGACATCAGGCGTTGACAACAGTTATCATTTATACACATAACATAACATAACGTGACGCCTTTTATCCCCGAAGGGGTAGGCAGAGGTGCACATTATGTCACTGTACAATGTAACACCCACTTTCTACTATTAATGTTATGAGTCCCATGTAATAGGGGGTGAGCCTATTGCCAGATACCGGGCACAATTCCAGACTCCGTGCTATTACTGAGATTTTCTTTTTCAAAAAACCCAGTACTACTTTTTCCGACCCGGGGATCGAACACGAGAACCCTTGTCCGGCATTCGCACTTGCGACCACCAACGAGGCAGTCATAATTTATACCAGTTTTTAAATGATACTTCATATCGTAGTTGTGTTTTAGAAACATTTTTCAGAACTCAGTTGACGAGGCTCTTCGCTAAAGTATCTTAATATTCGTAATGTACAATTTTTCGCAGTGGGATTCCATAGATTCTGGTCTAAACTCCCTGTTTGGCAAAAAAAACTCGCCTCCCAAAATGAGAATGAGGTACATACATGGTGGAAATAAAAACAAAACTAGTAAAATGAGTCTAAACACGTTACACACCATGGGGGTCACTGGTAACCGACGTTATTGGGGAATATGCCTTCAATAGTTAGATATTGGCAGTCATAGACTTAATGCCAGTATTCAGAAATTAAAAAGTTATGTATTAGACCAAATATTACCGAAAAGTAAGTTCTTTAATAACATAACATCACGCCTTTTATCCCCGAAGGGGTAGGCAGAGGTGCACATAGAAGTAACACCCACTTTTCACTATTTATGTTATGAGTCCCATGTAATAGGGGGTGAGCCTATTGCCATATACCGGGCACAATTCCAGACTCCGTGCTACTACTGAGATTTTTAAAAAACCCAGTAATATAAAGTAAGTTCTTTAATGTTTGGATAAAATTGTAATAAAGATATGAACATCTCCCTTACGTTACGAACCACTGACACCTGCAATTAAGAATTTCAAGCAATTTCATGAGTAATTATTTTGATTTGAACCATCAATGTTATGTGGGTAACATTCGATAGCCGCCAGACAAATTCTGAAGTCCATTGTCTAAGAAGTACTATTATTCGAAGACTAGAGGATCAATTTAGAGAAACAGCAGAACACCTGGATCTACCTCTACATCTAGATTTGCAGTACATTAATATTAATAATAATAATATTCAAAATGGGTGTTTTAGTGAAAAATGCGACGCAATCAGTCAGCATTTCTCTGACTGCTTTGCAGATTGTGGGGTTCTGGGCCCCCGAGGATCTCACAGAAATTCAAAGATGTCTGTACAGATGGTTCGGAGTATTCTCTTTCATGTTTATGTTAGGTTTGTATTTATGTTTTTTGTTCATTAGATAGAGTGTGATCATCTTAATTTTTTATGTTTTTTTTTCGGTTTCTTTTTCTTTTTTGTTTTTCGGCTTACTTACTTAATTATTTGACGAGGAACTCGACTAGTTTCAAGCCATGCTAGAGGCTCATATTCATTCGTGAGCGGCATTCCGCGATGCGACGCGGTGACTGTCGCGCTACGACATGAGTAATACCCTATAACAATTAATTTAGCATGTCTCATAAAGGGGACGATTTTGCGTAGCTCTTGTTAAATCGCATTTCATTTAAGTTAGACAATCGGAGAACCTAACGGGTAACCGGGGCTCCGGCTCGACGTGCAGGAGAAGGAACGGGGTGGTTTTTAGTCAGTAAGAGTCTCACACTCCCTCCCGCCTCACCCAGGCGGGAGCAGTCATACGATGATTTCCCCCCTTAAAAAAAAAGACAATAAAAATTGTTGAAATTCCATCCCTTAGGATGCCTTAAGGTGCATATTTTCTTTTGAAGTACTTAAGGAACTAATTTCTTATTTTCGTAGGCACCTATATATTCATCCAAGTAGTGGACCTCTTCATGATATGGGGCGACATTCCTCTAATGACGGGCACTGCCTTCCTCCTGTTCACGAACATGGCTCAAGCAACTAAGATCGTGAACATCATGGTAAGGAAGCGGAGGATCCAGAACATTGTCAACGATTCTGATAAGGTTTTATCTCAAGTTCAGACTTTTGAGGAACAGGAGATTGTTAAGAGGTAAGTGTGAAGTCTGTGTGTGAGACGAGGCATTATGTCTATATAATTAATTGTTAATAGTTAATAGTAAACAGAGTAAATTTCAAAAGTAATCTTTGGAAGTTCACTTTAGATCCCAAAATTACTATTATGTCGATTTTTCCGTTAGTAAAGCTAACTATTGTATGTATTGTACATACCGTTTAAGTATCGTCTGGATGAACGTTTTTAAAACTACCTAATGAATGTACTTTCAAGATACAGACTCCAGGTGAAAAACGAAACCAGCAAAAAATCTCCATTAAGATGCTACGCGCCACCCGTCGGCGTCTCCTCTCGTAGCATTTTACTACGGCGTAGCACGTAGCGGTGACAGACATTTTCTTTGTTTTTCGATATTATACAGCTTTCTTTTGTTTCAGTTGTAATAGGGAGATGATAGTGCTTCAAGTTGTGTACTTTTCCTTGACTCTGATAACAGGCCTCGGCTGGGCTACTAGTGCTGAAAAATATCAACTACCTTTGAGAGCCTGGTTAGTAAAATTTTAGTGATTCCTCATTTACAGTTAATATTATGTTTTTGATAACCTAAGATTAAGCCACTACCCACTAATTTCGTAAGTGACTCCTTACGAAAACTCCGTTCGGCACATTGAAAATTGCGTTGACTGTGAAAATGTTATTGTTTCACACATCATTTTGACATCAGGTACCCATACGACACGACTAAGTCTCCAGCCTACGAGTTGACATACGTGCACCAGGTAGGTGCGCTCCTCATCGCAGCCTTCCTGAACGTGGGGAAGGACACGCTGGTGGCAGCCCTGACTGCTCAGTGTCGCTGCCGGTTGAGGCTACTGGGACATTCCCTGAGGACTTTGGATAAGGGGCTGGACACTGAGGATAAGGTGGGAAAAGGCTACCTAGGTTATTTAGAGAGAAAATAAAATTGTTTTAAACTAGGTCCTTGGCAGTTTTTTTTGTAATTTCCAGGATAAAATCATAAAACCGTATTTAAATGACTATTTTTTCACTGATAGTGTAAGTTTTTTGTTCTTTATGTAACTTTTCAATGTTTACAAAATATGTATGTCCAATAATATAATGGTTTACATTTTCGTTATATTCCTAGGAATCTCTTCATATGGTGACTTGTAATTAAGATAAGCATCAGTCCGCAATAGATGTTGTTTACATCTTAATTATATACACATCTTTCTCCAGTTCATGCTAACTTCTGACCAAGAGAAGACAGTCAGTAGTCGTCTAAGGGCATGCGTGGTACAGCACCAGGAGACCTTACAAGCTGCTAAGGAGTTGCAGGAGTGTTTCTCTGAACCCACCTTTGCACAGTTGACTGTGTCGCTGATCATCATCTGTGTTACAGCTTTCCAGTTGTCGGTACGTGGAATAATAACATTTAAAGCTGGAACTTTAACATGAATCTGGTACCAGAACTATAAAAACCAGGTTTTCAATGCTTCATTTTTAGTTTTCTTTTTATTACTTCTCTTACTTTCTCTTTTTTAATTGAATGTATGACAAACTCGTTTGTTTTCCCTAATGTACATAAATTCCCTCAACTCATAATTCCTCTCAACTGGACTATGTACATTTCCAAGTAAGATTTCTTTTGCAATAGTAATGTAGTATCCTCATCGACTAATGACCTTACCCGGTATACCACGTACAGATGGCACAACCGGATAACATGGTGCGTCTGCTGTCGATGGGCACCTACCTCCTGAATATGACTTTCCAGGTGTTCATTTACTGCTACCAGGGAAACCAGCTCTCAGAAGAAGTAAGTTATGTACCCATGATTATAAGTAATACCTAGAATTACATTTTTGGAATATGTAAGCTATTTTCGTTCCTCACTTGCTTAAACTCCTGTATATTTTTAGTGTATCGCAGCTTCGTAGTATGGATAAATCAAAAAGCATTCCTATCACCTCTCATTTTTGTAACCCAGGTAGACCAGGACTGATTTAGCAAAGTTTGTTAGTCTAAGTCTTTGATCAAAGTACAAAATGTATTATTTCAGATCAAGTGAAATTAAAGGAAATGGGAACAATGGATAAATAGACGATTTTAAATGTTGATGTAATCACTTACAATGTTTTATAATTTTGTATCTTTTTCTTGACATTAGAGTTTTGAGATAGCGGGTGCTGCGTACGAGTGTCTGTGGTACAAGTTCTCCCTGCGCCTGCGCCGTGCATTGCTGATAGTTATGGTGCGCACACGCCGAGCTCTACGACTCACTGCTGGAGGATTCACTACACTTTCACTTGCTTCTTTCATGGCAGTGAGTAAAAAAAATTTAATATTTTGTAAATCTGTGTCGATTAAAAGGCTAAAATACACTCTATTGTGGGAGAGCCATGCTATGCCAGCCATGAACCGGCTCGACCGGAGTGATACCACGGCCCCAAAGAAAACCGACGTGATAACACTTGCGTTGTGTTTCGTCGTGTGAGTGAAGTGACTGGAGGCCCAATTATCCCTACCCCAATCTTCCCAATCCCTGGGTTCCCAATAATCCTCGAAGTGGTAATCCCCAAAAAGCCGGTAACGCACTTGTAACGCCTTTGGTGTTCCGCGTCGGTGTGTCCATGGGCGACTCTGATTGCTTACCATCAGGTGATCCGTCTGTTCGCTTATCGGTTTATTCTGCGAAAACACCTGACTATTAAATAATATGCTAGCAAATTTTTCAAATAATCGAATGGGAACTATAGAAACTGAAAATATTAAAGGATGTATTATTATTTTCTTTTCAGATCATCAAAGCTTCGTATTCATTATTCACTCTGCTACAACAAGTTAATGAGGAGTAAACCTTTGTTGGTTAACTTACATTATGTAGTGTCTAGTAATAGTTAAGACAAACATTATATTTTATTTGTAGGTGACTTATATCAATATACAATCTCTATGTTCTAATGATATTGATGTAGTCTATAATTCATTTTAAGAATAAATAAACAAATATACCCTGAGTAATATTTTTATTTAAAATTTTATTGTACATACCCTGTGAAATTGGCGGACTTAGTGCCGTGCCAATTATACAGATTATATTATAATACTAGCTGTTGCCGGCGACTTCGTACGCGTAGAATACGAATTTAAGAACATAACTTTATTTGTTTCAATTATCCAACATAAAAGTAATCTATGTTACTCCTTGGTACATCAGCTACCTGCTAATACAAGTCTTGCAAAATCTGTCCAGCTATTCCAGAGATTAGCTAGTATAAACAGACAAACTAACAAAAATTGTATAAAATATTGTTTTGGTAATGTATCGTATTCATATGTGGTTATTTCAATATTACAAACAGACACTCTAACGTTATTTATAGATAAATATATTATTATAATATTTTATTTCTTTTTTAATCCCCACAAAACGTGAGTGTTACACTTAGTTTATGAGTTTAGCTCTTCTGTCTATCCCTTCGGGGAACAATAGGTGTGTTTATTTAAGCCTAAGTGGTGTCATCTCTAGTGTTTATTGTGTAAACGTGAAGAACTTTAAACTACGACTCCGTGGCTAAGCGGCCACATAGTCGAGCGGCTGAGTCGAATGTTTGTTGTTTACGTCGTCAAATAACAGATGGCGCTTATTACATTTATGTAGTTCGAAGTGTAGTTTCCCGATTAATAGAACTTAAGAAATATTTCATAAGTTAAGATAAAACTAAAGAATATTGTAGATTTTGATAATTATTACATTACATTTAAGTAGATTAACCTCAAAAAGTATCACTACTTCTTGACGTCATTGAGTTTTGTCTAATATTCGAATCGATAAAAATTTCTGTGTCTATATTTTCATGAATTTAATATTCAATTCTGATTTGGTACTGGTCTGTAGTATTAATTGCTAAATTGCTATTTTAATGGTAGACTACAATTATGAATAAATACTGTTTAGTTTTACAAACGTTTTGTAAGTATTCATTAAATATAATAACTCAATTGGTACGTGTATGTATGTAATACTAGAGAAATTTACAGCTAATTCCTAGCCTTCTACTAAAACTGAAAGTCCTTTGATTACTGTACAGAGTTTGCAAACATTTATCAATTTTAGATAAGTCAAATTTGACATCCAAAAACTATCAGCTTTTAGTTTTTTTTATGGGATAAGCCGGTCAACGGACAGACGGATCACCTGATGGTATGCAATCGGTGTCGCCCATGGACACCTGAAAAACCAGAGGCGTTACAAGTGCGTACCGGCCTTTTGGGAATTAGGAATTTGAGGATTGTGGGGGATTCGGGGCATTGGGGAGACTGGGGAAAGGGGTGATTGGGCCTCCGGTAACCTCACTCACACGACGAAACACAACGCAAGCGTTGTTTCACGTCTGTTTTCTGTGAGGCCGTGGTATCACTCCGGTCGAGCTGGCCCATTCGTGCCGAAGCATGGCTCTCTAACACTTTTTAGTTCAGAAACTTAATTCCTCAGACGAAATTCATAAGATTTCCAAAACAATGACAGTTTCTAATAAAACAGTGGATGAGTTTTTATCTTACACAATGTATTGATTTGTACCTATTACGACTTTTCTTATTTTACTCAGAACATATCTAATTGAAGAATTCTTAACTGCGTACGGAATTTTTTAACATAAATTATTTACTTAGTTTACAAAAAATCAAAACGCAATGTTTTTAACATCTGCCATACAAAGTACCGCCGATATAACCACCATGAGATCAACAAACCGTAAGTCAGTAGATAATCATCATGGGGTTCATAGTGGACAACGCGAATAACTCACTGCGGGTCTGTCTGACTGTCCTGAAGGTGGCAGGCTTCCTGACCTCACCACAGACTGGGGTCTATAGCTTTTTCCTATGGGTATACTGCTTCTCTTCGTTCATGTTTTTGGTTGGTAAGTAGAGATCCGTTCTTGTAGTAAATTGAGGTAGATCTAATGATATAATGAATGTCATCATCATCAACAGCCATCATCAACCCTCTTCTCCCACGGAGAAAGTTTGAGCATTAATTATTACAAATTTGGCGATTACACACTTATAATAAGAAATTATAAGGCCAGGTTTCCTCACGATGTTTTCCTTCACCGTTTGTCAGTGGTGTCTAGGTAATCATAGAAAGTACATATAACTCGGAAAAAGTCACATTGGTACTTGCCGTTGGTAGGTTTACTACCTGTATTTGGATGACAAAATATACGACAGTAATAACTAATGATGATGGTCGCATCATTATCTATCAAATGAGCCTTCTATCTTTGTACACGTAAAACGAACGTCCAATAGTTTTCAAAAATGTATCTAACCACCTAATCTAGTGAGCATTAGACATAATCTTATTAATCAATGATTTGTATTTAAGGAGGTATCATAATAGCTCAAACAGGCGCAATGTTTGAAATTTGGGGAGATCTGGCACTGATGACCAGTGCGTCATTTCTCTTATTTACCAACCTGGCTTTTGCTCTGAAGATCATCAACGTGGTGGCGAGGAGTCGACAGATACAGAGCATAATAGATGATGCTGATGATGACCTCGTGGCTGAGGATAGGGAGGAAGGAAGGGAAATTATTAAGAGGTGTGGAATGCACTGATGTCTACCTTTTACTCGTTGTTCAATTTCGTTTTATCTGTATTATGTATGATGTACATATAGATGTTTTCTAATCTATTGTGATCATACGTCTTTTATTACAAAAGTATAATATTTTAATAACTGTCTCGTTGGCTGTGTGGTCGCAAGTGTGACTGCCGGGTAAGAGGTTTCGGGTTCGATTCCCTGGCCGGGCAAAGTATTACTGGGTTTTTTATAAATTCTCAGTAGTAGCACGGAGTGTGGAATTGTGCCCGTTATATGGCAATAGGCTCACCCCCTATTACATGGGACTCATAACATAAATATTGAAAAGTGGGTGGTACATTGTACAGTGGCTTAATGTACACCTCTGCCTACCCCTTCGGGGATAAAAGGCGTGATGTTATGTTATGGTATGTATAATGTTTTAAATATTGAACACCGTAATGAAGTTAATGGATTGTAAAACTTTAATTCTTGTCGTTCTTCTTTATCCCAATACGTAGTTGCAATCGAGAGACCACAAAGTTTTTATGCCTCGAAGTACTGCTGTCACTGATCACGGTGTTTGGATGGGCTGCTAGTGCTGAGAAAAACCAGCTGCCTCTTCGAGCATGGTGAGACAATCGTATCTTAATAAGTAAATATTCAAAAATTGTTATTGTCTTAACAGTCGTTTAGGGTTGGTTTTTTATTTTTATGGCATAAGCTGGTAAACGAGCAGACGGATCACCTGATAGTAAGCAGCCGGTGTCGCCCATGGACACCTGGAACACCAGAGGCATTACAAGTGCGTTACCGGTCTTTTTTGTCCGGAGTTTAAGGATCGTTGGGGATTCAGGGATTTGGGAGATTGAGGAAGGGGAGGGTAATTGGGCCTCCGGTAACCTCACTTACACGACGAAACACAACGCAAGCGTTGCTTCACGTCGGTTTTCTCTGAGCCCGTGGTATCACTCCGGTCGAGCCGGCCCATTCCTGCCGAAGCATGGCTCTCCCACACTTAACCCTAGTAATAAAAACTAGTCAACCGTAAGACTATGTATGGAGTAGAAATTAATATAATTTCTTGGGCTTGCAGGTATCCCTATGACGCTTCGAAGTCTCCCGCATACGAACTGACATACTTTAACCAGGTATGTAGTTCTAGCTCAAACACAATACTAGTAGTTATAAATTGGTACCTAATTATAGGTAAGTAACTCGAGCATACATCCCAAATTCTAACTAGCTAATCACAACCCAAGGTCGACATTCCAATAACAAAAGAATTACCAATTACTCTCTTTGTGTAGAGTTCTTCAGTGACGGTAGCGTCGATGGTGAACACGTGTCTGGACGTAATGGTGGCGTCCATGATTGCTGTCTGCCGCTGCAGGCTGGGACTGGTCGGGTTGTCCCTCAGGAGGCTCTGTGAAGGCATTTCAGTTATAGGAAAGGTACATAATATTATGCTGATAAATTGATTGTAGTGTGATTTGTGCTTTTAGCAGTATTTTTAAATTTTGCCATACCTATTATTGGAAGCAAGTATAACAGCTCACACATAGGACCCACTTAGTTTTTTAGTCAAATTTCCGTGGTGCTTGGCAGTCGCCAAGCCCAGTCGGGCTTCACCCAGTTGTACAGTCTCTTCTTTGTGCCTTCAGGCTTAATTCATTCTGTCTCCTGCAGTAATTCACCGAGGGAAGTGGAAACTATAGTTTTTTCTTCTTCTCCTCTTATAATATCTTCTGATTCACTTCGTTGCGGAAACCAAGACAGTTACTCATGTCCCTGGGACGCGCAGGACTTCAATGTTCCGATGTTTTCATGGTTGTATCTACTGTAGATCCTGGCTTACAGGAGTTGCAGCGGTTTTGGGAGGTAGTGGCGGGCTTGCCCCATAAAAAAAAAAGTATTTTTAAATTTATCGAAATGTTGTGTTTCAATTGTACGACAGAAAAACCCTTCGTTTAGCAGAAAAATGAGGTAAAACAGTTTAAAGTATTAAATTTGAATTAATCTCGTACAATTGATTGGTAATTACTCTGCTGATCCACCTGATTCCATAAAAACTTACAAAAACGTCTACACTCACAGGATTTACTAACTTCGGATGAAGAGAACATAGTTCAATCTCGCTTGCGGCAGTGTGTGATCAAACACGAGGCTGCGTTAAAGTCGACCAGGTTGATACAGACATGCTTCTCATATCCTATCCTGGCGCAGTTCACGGTGTCTGCCGTCATCATTTGTGTTACAGCATA